GGCGCACGGGCGGGGCGCTTGAGGTTGCGGGTTCGAGTCCCGGCCTCGGCCGCACAGGCAGGGGAGGGTGCTGCTTCCGTGTGCCGGGAAGGAGAAATATTAAGGACAGAAGGGTGTGCTGCCGGCACAACATTTACCAGGAGCAACTCAAAGCAAAACCTTCCACAGAGGAGGTATATGCAACAGTGTTTAACTTTAGCAATGCCCTTTCCAGTCCTGAAGTTGATCTGCATGTGAGCATGGAGAAGCAATAACCCTCGCAGCAAAGTGCAAGAAAAACGGGATGCATTTAAGTCAAGTCCCAGCAAAACACTGAAGCACTGCTATGCCTGCACGCAGACCTTGTCTCACTGAAATCACTAGGCCACTTCACAGGTGTAAAATTATGCATGTGTAAGCATAATACCGGGCCCGAAGACAATGAAAACAGGCACAAGTCTGTACTGGCGGATATCAGGCCTGTGGAAAACCCCAAGCTGCTTCAGTCTGTTTGCAGCATGTGTTCTGCAAACACGAGTACGCTGGCCCATGTAGGAACAGCATTGCGGGGGACTTTTGGAGAAGAAACAGATGAGGAAGAACCAATTTCATGTTTTGCTGACAGGGCTAATAAGCGCTGTAAACTTTCAGATGCACCCAGTTTCTGTCTGGGTTTCCTACTGCTAATAGGTTAGATTTTTAATAAAGGCTTCTGGAAAAAATGTACTTAAATTTATGGTGAAAAATGTATTGATACTGCTGATAAACTCAGGAAAAGCTGAAACGGCAAAGAAAAATAAATCGTATTTTCAATAATTTTCGATCATAATTTCCTTCATTTCCCTGGAATGTGCAGCTTGGTTTATTAGGAAACCGGAAACCTATCGAGTTTCTATTATGACTGTGCTGCTGCAAAATGGAACAGCAGGGGGAGCTTCTGCCCTAAATGAAACAGAGCCGGAGACGAGACAAGAAAAATAAGAAATCCAGATTTAGAGAAGGAAGATAGAGGGAATAAGGAGAATGGTTGCAAATGTCCCGTTAAGCTGAAAAGGATCAAACAAGTGACAAATGTGATGGAGCAAGGACGTAGCACATGAAGGGGAGGAACAGAGGAAAGAGGAAACAGACGCATTCTGTCTGGTAAATTCTCGGTAAAGACCTTCTACAGCACCGTATTTTTTTCAGGTCTGAGGAACAGAGTCTCACTTTTCATAAATGTATAGCTTTAAAGTAAAATTTTCGATTCGTTCAACTGAAATATAAAGAGCAAAGTAGAACTCTGCAAGAAAAATCAGAACTGGGTTGGCTAATGCCGTATCTCTGAGCCCATCTGCAATTACAAAGTAGTACAGCACACACAGCTGGCCTTTGGCAGGTCAGAGTTCGTGTGTACTTCTATTATTTGGATCTAACTTTTCATGTTTCTGTACCACAGCAGCAATAACCCACCCTGCTGCATCTAAGTCATCAAATAACCATAAAAGCAGAGACAGAGAAACTGTTGTAGAAAGGGAAGTAGGGTAGACAAGAGATCCCAGGGTGACAAGAACTGTGGAGGAAACTTCTGGTTATATTATGCACATCGATGCTGACTCAGAGGGGTTTGCTTGCTTCCACAGATAACCCATAAGCTAAAATGCAGTAATTTAACCTCTTTTAAAAAGAACCCTTTTGTAGTCCTTGTTTTGGAGGAATGGCAATAATTAAAAAGCTGAGAAATAATTTAACAATCAAAGGCTCTTCATATTATAGTAGCATAAAAGGGTTCTACATTGCTCTAAGCATGTCCAGTTAGGGGAGCACCTGAACACCACTATAACTGTGTCCCACAAGGAACTCTTAAATTGGCATGTCAACAGAAATAAATAGATAACTGTGTATTTTAGCAACACAGAGGTGCCAGCAAAGCTTTTTAAAAGCAGAAGAAGCATGAGGTTGCAGTTCAGGTCAAGATGAGCTATATTGCTACGGAAAAGGTCTCACTGTTCCTCTAACCCATTTCCAGCTCTGTTTCCATCCCCCCTCCCTCGTGTCAGCATTAGTGCGCCTGTGGCTGACATGGCTGAAAAATCGTAGTTATTTTTGTATTGATTTATTTTTTCCCAGGTTAGATTTCAGCCAGATTGGATCACAGCACCACTTTTGACAGAAAATAATTACTAGGAACTTGTGTCTAGGACTGAGGGAGATGACAAAAGTAGCCCCTTCTGGCAGCCCACGCTTAGATTGGCTGAAATTGGTCCTGAAACTGTAGCTTAAGACATGAATAGCAATCAGTGAACCACTTAGATTATTAAACCAGGAGTCTATAAAGCTTTTGTAAAAGCTTATATATAAACATGCTCTTTTATACTAATGATGCACTACAACCAAAGAAGATTGAAAGTAATGTACCTTTATTTACCTTTGTACCTTTATTTACCTAATGTACCTTTGAGTCCAGCCTATATCACTAATACAGTGTTGACATTCAGGGAGGCAAGTGACTTACTTTCCTCTGCCTCAGTTTCTGTAAAAGGATACAGATACAAATACTTTGCAAACCTACAGATGTAAAGTGCTATATGAGACTAAAGTAATTTTTCACTGTTCTTTCAGCAAACATTCAAATATTTCCAGGGGAAAAGAAAATCTTGCTGCTGTAATACCTGCCCTGCTTTGCTGTATGCGCTATGTTTCCATTTTTATGGCAACAGTGCATTTTTTTGGCCTCCAAGCATATCCTGATGCTTGTTGCTCTTGGTCTATCTATAGAACATCAGACAAGAGTAATGAATTGTATATTCCTCTTTACAAATCAATCTGTTTGAGCCCTTAATAATGAAGGACAGACTGCCAAGATGGCAGAGGGGATTCCATGAACACAAGTGAACAGTCATATCTTGCCGTCAGTTTCTTGGTCTTCTTGGCTACTCATGCCAACATTTCATTTTTTCCCATATCCCCTTTACTTGACAAAATCCTAATTTTTATTCTTCATTAAAATTATCATGGCATGCTTTCCAAAACCTTTAGCTCTTGAGGATTCATTAGTCGCACACACCTCTTCAAAACTGCATCCTATGACGAAGGAGGTAGGTATGCCTCCCCCTGTTAGATCTATGAGTATACAACCTACCTCATGGGCACAAAGACTCTTGATTATTCAAGGACACAGCCCATTTCTTATCTCTATACTTATCTCTATACTCTCTAACTTTTCCCAATAGAGAGATGTAACAAGAGGGGCTTTCTCAATTTTTGTTGTTTTCAGTTCTCATTCAAAATTCTCTTGTTTTTTGTTGCAGTTCTTCAGTCCTTTCAACAGACTGCACTTAAGAGCTAGCAATAGGTGTGAGGGACACTTCTGTTGTTCAGCACCACCTTAGAGACATGCCATTTATATACAGAACTCCATGTCACCTTTTACAGACAAGAACATACTAAACGGATCCTTCAAAACAGCTCTGCTGTATTGCAAGATTTTCAGAGGGGAACTACTATTGCAGGAGACTCTTTGAGCATACTTTAAAGCACCAGATGGGAAAGATCTTGGAGATATTTTTCTAAATTGAGAGAGTTAACATCATGAGATTTTTAAATATCTGTGGTGGGTTCATCTTGACACCTGCTCTGCTGAGATAGTGGAAGGGCCAGTAGCTGATTTAACACACAGTATTCTGCAGGACAGAGGAAGAGGAATAGCTTAGACCAGAAAAGCCACCTACTCTAAGCCAGGGAGACGGCAGAGGGCTTGAGCCATAAACCATAGCAGATGACATAAAGCTCCAACTAAACAATGCCATGCCTTAGAAGCAGCAGCTTAAGAGCAGCTGCTGTTGTGTGATGCAAGTCTCTTTAGGCAAAACTGAAGGACATAAAGCTGAGAAAAATGTCCTTGGAAGCATTTCTTAAAAAAGGAATCGTACAGCTGAAACAGGAAAAGCAACCCCTGAGTTAAGTGGTGGCACTACCAACATCAAAGAACTGAAACATATTGTAAAATACGACCAGCACAAAGACCCCATAAGCGCTTTGGACTTGGGAATACCTGAACTTAAAAGAGTTGCCTCTGCTGGGTGCCCTGGAGTATTCTGTCTCCAGAGTCTTGGTAAACCTTACCACTGCTGGTGAGATCTTGTTAATGGGGACTATGCATCAACACTTAGTTTTGTGCCTTTGTATACATATACAATAAGGACTGTCTGTTGGAGCAGATGGACTGTCCTTGTATTGCTTGCTATCTGCCTGACTACCCCCTGCTCATGGTTTAGCACTTCGACAGCACTGCAGGCTCACAACTCAAGACAAACCAGAGTCAGTAACGGGGGCTGGATGCTCACAAGTCCCACCGGTCACTTTTTATAAGGAAAAATCTGTTGTTTCCATTTTTATCACTCTACCTCCCTCGTTCCCTATGTAAGAGTTCTAGGTGAACTGAATAACAGTTATACGTCAGGACTGAAATTCTGCTCGTCATCGTGCAGGTCT